TATTTATTTATTTATTTTGCTATTTCAAATGTGGTCGGCATCTCCACAAACAAATCATACAGTTCTGAAGGCTAGATTCATAGAAGCAATAAACATAACTTTTAAACATAATGAAACCTTAGCTACAGAATATGATTAACAAAGTACACTCCCTCAAATAGTATATGAAAATGTACTTTCACTGTACCCTTAGTGAGCTGAGCATTAATTTTAAAAAATGATTAAATATGATGGGCAATAAAAAAAACCCTCACCCCACATACAACCAAATATTCCAAAAGCCTAATTTGCCTTTCCCTGTGTAGCTGGGTATCTCTGATATTTATCCACACTCATCTGTGTCATTTTTAGGGTGTGCATGTTTTCTTCCTTTTGGCCCCTTCCCTATTGACATTTTATTTTCATCCTACCCTTAGTAATCTATGTGACTTTTTCTGGATATTAATAATTCTTTGATATATTTTTGTTCAGTTTTCTCACTGGTTATGTTTTAATTTTGTTTCTCATTTATGTTATTCAGATTAAAAAGCTAATGATGTGTCCATTTTGTATTTTTTTTCTTCTTTCATTTCTTTTTACTCAATAAGTCTTTTCAAGTGCTGACACAAATTTATATGTCATTTTATTTACTGTTTTTTTGGCCTTATTTATTTATTACATTAGCCTCTGACTCCTGTTGAAACAGTTTTTTGTGTGTGTTAGAGAAAGGTAAAAATACTTCTTGCATTTGGTTTACCCAATGTCAGTCATTTATTGAGCAATCAGTCTCTTACTTTTTCTCTGATTTATGGATCTACCCTGGCACCTTGTACTAAGACCTCCCTATGCCAGATTGGTTTTCACTAGTTGCCAGGTAGATAATCTATGATTTTATGATATACCATGATTCAGAAGAATAAATTTTTCCTCTTTACCATTTTAAAAATCTCTTTTACAAGTTATTTTTAATACTTTGGTATCCTCTTAAACTTTTCTTAATTTGCTTTGTAGTTTACAGTTATTAACACTGTAAATGCTATTTTGAAAAATTTGAAAATACACAAAACAATGAGAAATTAACATAGGGAAAACCATCACCTCAACAAAGCCTGTTTCTGAAATTATCATTGTTTTGTTGTTTTGAGCATGCACTTTCAGAGTCTCTATCATGAATACTTTGCAAGCTTTGCTACTATTCCTCTTTGACAAAGAAACAGGAATATATGTCAGAAAATGGTCTGTTTTCCATCATGGAAAGTTGTTGGATGCAGTTTCCATAGGATTGCATTTTTTTAAAATCAAGAAAACATCATCTCAATTTCTCTCAGCTTTTGACTTATAATCTTTTGAGACATGTAAAAAATAAAGCAATAACCTAGATTCATTTATGCCTTTATATATTGTTGTTCTGATCTACTAAATGGTATCTTACTTTATCTGAAACATAATCCAGTAACTAATATGTCATAAAGATGTCCCTGGCAGCATACGGCTCATTTCAAAAAACTTTGTTTTGTTTTTGTTATTTCCTAACAAGGAGCTATTTCACTTTTTTAAACACATTACAAAGTGCAGTGCCATTTAATTTTCAATTTTGTTTCTGTGTATATTTATTCAACACTATCTTGGTGATAGGAGGTGCTCAATAAACATGTGTCAAACGGGAGAAAAATGAGTGAAACATACTACTTAAATAGAGTGCTATACAAATGGAACATTATTAATAACTATGTTGGAATTTTTAGAAGTGGCTGATGCAGGAACAAATGTATGCCTTTTATTCACAGCAAAGCCTGGGAGATGAATAGCAGGTACATCTGATGTGTGATTTATTCATACATACTAGTAGGAGATTTATAGGCATCTATTAACCTACTCGAGTTCCAATTCTGTCTTAGGTTGGTCTTTTGTCATGATTAGCTATGTTGTCATTCTTTGTTAAATAACTGGTTGTCTGAATTGAAATATGTAAGAAATATACATGTAGATGGCCAAAATTATTAACCATGTGTGTTAGTTACTTTTCTCTTGTTGCTGAGAAAAAATGCCCTGACATCCAAAGTTAAAAGGAAAAGGGTTTATTGGCTTACAGTTTGTAGAGGTTTCAGTCCATACTGGCTGGCTCCAAGGCAGGATGGCTGAGGGGCAACAGTTCATGGTGGCGGAAGACAGCAAAAGCAACAAGAGACCTTAACAGCGTCTTTCTAACCCCTTTTATCTTATTCAGACTACCTAGGGCAGGTAGTGCTCATGTCCTTAATCTTAGTGCCACTGGGCCTAGCCCCACCATGAATCAATCACACACTCTAAAGTCAGCCACCTCAGAAAAAGCATGAAGCTTGGGGGTACATCTAAACACAAGCCGTAACGCCATGTTCCAGTTAAACTTTAGATCTATCTCTGTGTGTAACAAAAATGAAACTGGTACATACATTCACACAAAAACAAAGAATTCCTTTTCTGGACCTGAGACCCATTGTTATTGACTGAATTATTTAAAAAAAAAATCCCACTGAAGTACAAACTTCCAGTACCTCGGAATGTGACCATAGTTGGAGAAAAAGGTCTTTAGTGAGCTAAATGATATAAGGTCATTAGGGTGAGTTCTAATCCAATATTATTTGTGTTTTGTAAGGGGAAATTTGGACATAGGCATCTACAGAGGAAAAATAATGAGAAGACCCAGGCAGAAGAAGCCTATCTATAAGCAAAGGGGAGAGGCTGTAGAAGAAATCAACCCTGCTGGCACCTTGACTTTGACTTCTAATCTACAGAACTATGAGAAAATAAATTCCTACTCTTAAGGTACACAGTCTGTCAAACTTTTAGAGCATCCCTAGCAAATGAATACCCATGAAATATAAAGAATTAGCAAAGATATAATGCCCATGTACAAACAAAGAGATAACTTAAGACCATAAAAAGAATTCTTTTGTTCTTTTCTGCATACTTAGTTTTGTAAAAGATGAGTCAAAATGACCTGCACACTGTATTTAGGCTTGATCTGACCCTCCCGTATACTAAAAAATCATCAAAGGATGTCACTAGATTAGCTGAAGCTTCTAATTCATCCCTTTTTCAATGATTTAAGACTATACACTTAACTGATTGCCTACAGTCTACTTTGTGTTGCTATAACAAAATACTTCTGGCTAGGTAACTTATAAAATGAAAAGGTTAATTTGGTCTTTCAGTCCTTCATTCTGTAGCTGGAGGTTCCATGGATCACGGTGATAGCATCCTGGTGAGGGCTGCCTATCTATGGAATCTTATGGTAGCAAAGCAGAAAGAGAGCTGGCATCACATGGAAGGGCCACACATGTGAGGAAGGAAACAGGAGATTTTGGAGAAGCCAGGCTTAATGTCTGCATAACAACTGGCCCTTGGAGAAAATAATCCACTCTACCTAGACCTGAGCCACTCCTGTGTATCAGTATTAATCTATTTATGAGAAGAACTTCCATAATGTTGGTTACCTTCCACTAGTTAGGCCAATTTCCTTAAACTGAACACCAACACGTGGCAGACTAGGCTTCTAGTACATGAACCTCTGGAACAAACCATTCTGTCCACAGCATCTACTTCCACATGATGATCCCCTTGGTGACAAAAATAACTTTAACACACTGTGAGTGCCTGCAGGACATCAGGCTTTGGAAAAGTAGCTCATTCACTTTATCTTGAGCCATTTATGGGCTTCCCACTTGTGTCTTCATGGACATAGTCAACATGGCAAGAGGTGAAGAGTGAGGAGAAGAATAAACCCTACTCCTCCTTATCCCCAACTAGGTTCACAGAGGATTGGAAGGTAGAAAATATTCTGTATCAGGGTCAATGAAATGGCACTGCCAAAATCATTGAAAGGTGCATGTCAAAGGAAAGGTCCCAGTTCTATTTGCAGATACCTGCTACTGTCATTCATCAGACCTAGACCCATGTCACTGCCCCCCTGGCCATATATCCTCCCAATGAGCTGAGCTGGCTCTTGGACCCAGGCACGATTTGCTACCACATTCTCAATCCACAGCTATAAGATGTATTCCTCTGCCCCATCTTAATAAAATGACATGGGAGTAAAGTTTTATATTAGTGGTAGGGAAGTAAAAAAGTCGTAATTTTCTATGCTTCACGATTCACAATAATTAATTTAATATCTGTGTCTTATGAGAAGAGTAGATAAAGAGAAGGAAAGGGGTGTGGATACATATGATCACTGAAACATAGGCAATTGAAAGAAAAAACAAATTACCAGGGTTGTGCTGGAAGTAAAAGCTTGGTGGGAAATATTTTTCAAAGGATAATTTGATTCTTCTGTTGAGCCTTAAAGCTTCAGTGTCTACCAGTGTACTATCTGTCTCCACCTGTTTTTATTTTTAGCAGTTATATAAACTTATGTCCTTAGAAACCAATTAAACACCTTCCTGATCTCTACTGGGAATTGTCTTTAAGTAGTTCTCTACCTAGACTATACCAGGACTATGATTTCATTTACAACATCTTGGTCGAGAGTGTTTCATCATCAGAGGTGTTAAGAAAAGCACTGAAATTAATAAAGGAAGGCAGAACCAAAATAAAATGCAGTTCTCTATGGACACAGTTATCCTCACTGTGGGTTTGGCTTATATCAAACACAGAGTTTCTAGATCTAAGATGAGTAGTTTGCTTCTCTTGCCCAGGCCCTTAGATTTGCAAGAAAGACAATGCACCTAAGCCCCATGCCATAACATAGACTTTCAAAGTAAATTAACTATTTCTATTAAGTTGGCAGATATAAAGGTACATGTGCCTTGATTTGTTTATGTAGACCTCAGACCTCACCCACTGTTTCCATTGTTTCTTCCTCAAGGCGAATGAGCTAGATCTCTGTTTTGCTCTGTTTCATATTAAGATTCTCAATTCTACTGTGAGTCAGCAAGACTGTCCACATCTCAAGTATCAGGCATTCCCAAGGCTTCCCCTCACCCTCCACCTTGGGGCCTTGCCAAGGCCTACCCTGGCCATCACAAGTGGCAGTGACTTACCGGCAGTGCTTATGGGATCCCGTCAGGGTTTCAATCACAAAGCACTCGCCATCATTGAGACAGTAGGCAAGATCCTTGTCTCGGCAGGGCTTGAAGTGCTCAGATCGCTGGGTGGAATATGTCGTCGTATCTGTCAAGGAGAACACAGAGGGAACCGCCATCAGCAGGGGTGGTAATATAGTGGTTCCTGTCACTGGCCCCAACCTGTGCACCCAGGCCTGTGCATGTGCTATGACAGAGGGAACTGGAGACAGACAGGACGGACCTTCCATGGCACGGAGCAAGACAACAGGTGACACCCACTCTATTCAACTGAACAACAGTTGCCCTTCTACATCCCACAGGTTCTTCATCCTAAGATTCAACCAACCACTGATGGAAAATATTTGGCAGAAAAAAAAATTACAATTGTATGCACTCTACACATACACACTATTTTTTGTTGTCATTATCCTTGAAACACTGCAGTATAACATTAGCTGTTTATATGGTATTTTCATTGAATTAGGTATAATGAGTAATCTAGAAACTGTGTAAAGTAAAAGTAAGTGCATATGTTATGCGAACACAACACCATGTTATACAAGAAACATGAGCAGCCAGGTGGATACCAATCCACCAGGTGTCATGCGACAATCCCCTGAGCTTAACAAGGGCCCACTATCTTTTCTCACTAGATTTTGACAATTGGAGTCACTCTTGAGAAGCCCTATTTGAGGACACATTAACAGCAATGGTTGAGTGATCGTGACATAAACACCCAAAATCTGCTTTCAATAATTTCACTTCTAACAAATGTGTTGTACGAACAAGTGAAACTACATTACTTTCCTTTATTTTTGTCAAATGCCATTAAACATCTGATCAATGGATATTGTGAGTTTTCTGTACAAACCCATGCCAATTTTTTTTAGTTACAGCTATAATTGGCTAATAGCTAAGTCAATTATTCTTTCACTTTCTCCTTTTATTGTGTAATTAAAATGCAAATGTTCCAAACTCTAAAGCAGATACTCACATGTGAAGAATGTTTCTGGTAAATATTTAACAGGACCAAATTAGTGTCATTTTTTAGCATTCTCTTAAACATGTATTTTTAAAATCAAAATTACTTACATTTTTCATTAAGCTATACATCTCTATCTGCTTCTCAGTTATGAATCTAACCATAAGTATGTGCTACCTGCAGGAAACAAGCTCCATTTCCACTTGTGGACATTTTTCTAGTTACAGAGTTTGAGGCAACTAAAGTACTAATACCAATTCCACTGTAACTGTCAGGAAAAAAAGGTATATTTAAAAAGGTGGGGATTAATACATTATTCAGCATTTAAGCTCTTTTAATCTACTTTTTCTAGATCTAGATTGGTAAAAGGGTGATGCATGAATCCAGCTCAGTAAATAAAGATCATAATGAGTTTGTCCCTGTTTGTCACCCACATTGACAGCAGGGTGATCATCCTTTAAGAAAATCCACTCTGCCAAGGAGTCCTCATCAGGGCTGGGGGTGGCTCAGTGGTACAGTGAGGCACTGGTGAGGCCCTGAGTTCAATCCTCAGCTCCATCAAAAAGTGAATAAATAAAAATAAGTAAATTCTTAAAAATACAGTAAAATGAGAATGAAGTCAAAATCCTGAACACAGCAAAGATAGGCATGGGCCTTCTGTACTTTGGCCTGTCTGGGTCTCCTCTGCTTACTCTCTGAGAACACAACTTAATTTCCAAATATTACTTTATGTCTTGCAAATGTCCACAGATCCACCTCCTACTCTTTCCTGTTGGCCCACTCTTCTCCTCCACCCTGTTGTGCAGGAAAACACCCAGAAATCCTGCCTAGCTCACATAATATCTCCATAGGCCCCTCTGCCACCTCTTGTTATTCACATTATGCATTCAACTGCCTAATAGTTTGCTCCCAAGATTATCCATCCTGGGAGTTCCTTGAGCACAGGAGTTCAGGCCTAATTAGACTTCCTGCTCAGTGAAAAAACTGTCGATATAGCTAATCTCCATAACATCACCAGCCATTTAAATGCTGCACACAAAAGAAATGACCATTAAAGTCCTCCTTACAATCTTACCAATGGTTACTGTGTCATATAGCAAAAAGTTAGGTATAATTTCATATCCATGCTACCATTTTTGTACAAGTTTTAATATTGATGAGTATCTCAAAATCAAAGCCTTTAATTCATGCAGCCTCTCACGCAGACATGACTCTCACTTATACACTACCACCACTGAAAAAAATGACTTTTGATGTCCTCTTTCTTGGTGTTACAATAAGGACTTATTTATTCCATTTCAAAATATCTGCCTATTAATACTTGAGCAAAAAATAAAGGCTCTGCAGAATGGACACATGTCCCATTTTCCAGACAATCTGTACAATGAAGATCTGTTTCCCAAGACAGTATGTGGTAAACCACATGAAGCCAGTCTCTTTTTCTATGGTAAGTATTTAACATTCAACAACTTAGAGTAAAATGTTCAATATGAAATGCTGCTTGGTTGACTGCTACTCAGACTGCTGAAGTATATTAAGTCATGATCACTTAGTTAACTTTTCTTTTAATGTCTTATAATCCATTTATTGATAGTCACTGATCATTCCACTAAGAACAGCTTTTCTTTAACATAACATACAGCATAAAAAGTGAGATCCTTATTTTATAATCAGTGGTTTTAACACATAGCAGTCTTCAAGTGCAATACAATGGCAAACCAATTACAATTGATTAATTTCCATCTGACAGTTGCTGTCTCCTGTGGCTAATCCCCCATTCTCCCAACTCCTTTCTTATCCAGTCTTCATCTATTAGCACATTACAGAAGAACCAAAACCAAGTAAATGGCTCTGCAAAAAGTCCTGGGTGGGAGAGCAAAGAGATGAGCCTTAATATGTACTCAGATTTTCCATTTACACAGCTTAGAGAATCCCAAAACTAATTTAAAATGTACATACTAATTCTTCACAATTCCTTGGCTGGTTTCAAAGAAAGCATGGTAATTATTATTTAAAATAACAATATAAAAAAGTGACAGTATATTGGGTTTGCTTATCCTGTAAGTAAACTGTGAATATGAATAAATTAGAAATATTAGAATTTTTCTAAGCATTTCACTGTATAGTGTCCATTAGTAATACTCACCTGAAAGGAGAGAGGTTTTGGGTAAGATACATGCATCATGAGATGAAAGTTTGCTCTTGAAAGCCATCATGCCAAAGATGTGGATGGGAAGATAACAAAGGAAATCACTAAGCTGCTAGATTAACTATAAGGACAGCTACCCAGGCTTTTGTTAGGTAAATGTTATTTATTAAAATTCTCTATTGTGTCTAAGTTACCATTAGTCAGGTTTCCTATTACTTAGAATCAAGCACAGCTTAACAAAGAGACAATGACAATTTTGAATGACTCTCTCCAATATGTATTTATCTGCTTATATGTATATGTACATATTTGTGTTTAAATGTATATAGGTTTAATGTATAATATATATTGTAACACATATTCACATATTAAATGCAACATAAATAAAGTGAGAAAACAAATATAAGGTGTAATCCTTCATTTTCTTCCTGTGCCATAAGTCAACAAAGGATCCTGTAATAGATCCAGCTGAGTATTTGTTCTGAAGGGGAAGCCGGACATTCGTGAGACTGAGATAATCGGTAAAATCTAACTCCTAACTATTAAAGTTATAGTCCTGACCTACTTTGGGATATCTGAGTAATAAAGCAGAGAACATTTTTGGAACCTGTTTATATTTTTTTAACAGCATACCTCCTTAAAGATATCCAATACATTAAGCTAGTTATACAGTAAATGGTACTATGTTGTTATGTCCTAAACTAAACTTCTTTTTCTTAAAATGTAATTTGGTAAATTTGTTATAGAGCTACTAATTGTGTTCAAAATTATATGCATGAAGGTCTAGGAAAGTCAGTATTCCTATGATTTCCCATCTGTCTTCCAAGGCTCATTACTACACGTTGCACTTTCCACCTGTATCAGTTGATAGACATCCTGTGTGCCTGGGCCTTGTGCTCCTGGGGGGCAGAGCAGGCCTGCACATCTATGACCCATGGTCTTCTGCACAGCTGGTCATGGTGGTGCACAAAACAGATAATTAGAATAAAACCATCTTTTTATACTTGGACATTGTTCTGAATGATTTTGTGCATGCTTTTGTAATCATCATATAAGACTAAAACAAACTATCTTTTATCTCTTTAAAACTCTGGAAACTTGTTCAGAAATGCCTCAAAAGCAACTTAAGTAAAGCATATACTTGTTCAGGTTTATAGAAATAAAAATCAACTTTGTTTCATGGAGAGCAAGGGAGAAGAAAAGAAGACAAAGTTAAAATAGGAAATATTTTCAAACAGAAGGACTCGAAAGGGAAGGGAATGTAGTTTTAGGATGAACAGAGACAGTGGTAAGTTGAGGTTTTCTGAATATCATGACCAAAGGTCCAGGGCTCATCTGGGTGATGCTAATGTCACATCACTGTGGCCAAAGGGGCTGTGCCCTTATCAGGACCACTCTTCTGTCACATGTCATATGTAGCTAATGTGTTTTCTTAATTTTTATGGGTTTTCGTTTCTCTCCCCAGGGATGTCAGTGAGAGTGCTTTGTTTTTAACTTTTGTATTCTTTCCACATCATGTAGCATACATAGTAAGCAATCACTACAGTAATTAAATGCACAGAGGGAGGTGGTAACATTGAATTCATTAAAGGCAAAATGCAAAGAAAATGTAAGGCTGGAAGATAGAAACCCCTGCAGATTTTACAATGAAAGTTAATTTGCTAGTGAATAAAATGATAACTGGTTTTCACAGTAAGTACCGAGTTGAACCTGAATGTTACTTATAGTGGTCTTCTATAACAGGAGCACAATGCTGCACACTGTGGGAACCCCTATTTTGTTGCAGGAACAAGACTTATAAATTGGTTATTACAGATAATAATTGGAGTAGACAGTCAAAGAAAGAGTGAGCTTGAGTGAGGCTAGTTATCGCTGAAATCTTCCCAAAGGATTGGCATTGGACCTAGTTCTTGAATGTTTGTAATTTAATTGGCATAGGAAGAGGAATTTTGGATGAGAAAAGCAAAGATCACTT